GTGTGTTGGTCACCCGTCTCTCTCCCGTGGTGCATTTAAAAGCCTGGTCCCCTCTCTGGAGCTGGAGCTTTGCTCCGCTGGCCCTACAGTCACCACGTGCCGCGGCGGGACCGGGCGATGGTGCTCACACGCCGCTGCCTGCCCCTCTCCCTGCACAGGCAGGGGTGGTGCCGCGGTACAGAACTGCCTCTGCTTTGCCCTCTGCAGCACCGCGGCACCTCGCCCCGCCGGGCTTCATGTGAGAGATGGCGAACGCCGAAGTGAGCGTCCCTGTGGGTGATGTGGTGGTTGTACCAAGTGATGGGAACGAAGGGGAGAACCCGGAGGATACCAAAACCCAAGTGATCTTGCAGCTCCAGCCGGTGCAGCAAGGGTGAGTTGGACGGTACCGGGAGGTGCAGGGTGAGATGGGGGCCGGGGGGGGACACCCTGTAGATTTTTGTGGTGCGGGGATTGAGCGTTGCTGCGTTTTCCAGCTCTGCGTCGGTTTTGTGCCACGCATGGCAGAGAGAAAAATACCAACGTAAAAAAGCTTTTGTGTGTGTCACTGTCATGGGGCCTCCGAGGACTGAAATCGTCCTGTGGGGACGTGTCTGTGCAATGCTCTCTCAGATCACGGCAGCCCGCCGATGCCCGTGGCAGCGCGGCGAGACGGTCACGGTGCCGCCCCGGCAACGCATCCTCCGGGTCCCTCTCTGGCCCCGGGGTGGGTTTTTGCCATCCTGCAGCTGCTGTACGTGGTGATCTGTGCCCGTGTGCCCAGATCCGTGTATGCCTCTGTGCCAGCTTTCCACTAAAATAATCCTCCTCTAAAATACGAGGACGTTGGGATGTTGGAGGGAATTTTGTGGTACCCAGCTTCTGTGGAGAAGGGGCTGCAACCAGGCACTTTGTCTTACCTCTGGATAAATCCGGACGTAAATAGAGTGGCTCCAGTTTGATAATCACAGAGCAGGGCGGCTGCAGGCCTGACAGTGACTCTTCCCGTGCTGCAGTGTCACACAGGGCTGGAAGGGAAATCCAGGGGCACCGAGCTCTGCTTCCTGTTGTCGTGGCTAACCGGCTGTATCAGAACCCAGAGGAGCAGGCACGGGGGAAGCGCACTGCAGAGCTGCCTCAGCGGCGCTGGCGACGCGGAGGGCGCGATGACAGGACTGGGAACGCCTTTGTGTGTTTCGGTCCCTGGGATTATTTGCGTAATTTGTATGTGCCAACAAAATGCCTGTGGTTGAGGCTCTATCAAACGAAATCCGCGTCTCTCGAGGACAGGCAAGAAAGAAACTAACCGGATTTTTAACCCCATGCTGTGATTTCCCGTGATTTACGTAGTTTGTTTATGGGTGGCCGCTTTCACAACAGGATTTACCAAGAGGGCTCCGAGGCCAGCGCCGCCGTAGTGGCCGTGGAAACCCACACCATCCACAAGCTAGAAGAAGGGATTGGTGAGTTCCCGCTTGGCGTGGGCAGAATCCCCTCCTCTGCAGGGCTGGTCGCAGCTGAGCTGGTGTCTCCGGTTCGCTGGGCTTCCTTCTGGCTCTGCCCCTGCAGATGCGGTTTCCCAGGCATGGATGTGGGTGCAGGGTCTGGGCAAACTCTGGAATAAGAGTCTGCTGTTACTGCTTGGTCTCAAAGTCCTGGAACTGAGATCCTGGCTCTCCTGCAATGAATGGTAAGGGCTCCCACGAGGTCCAGGGGAGCCGAGATTTCACCCTGGTCTTGGTGTGGGACACTAGCAGGCAGAAGTCATGGTTATGAGGATGGCGGTTGTGTCCGCGCTGACGCATGACATCAGGTTCCGATGGTTCTTTGCCCAGGGTTTGGGTTGGGGTTCAGAAGAACCGAGCAGGTTGGCGCTGTGTGCTCCCCACCATCCTGAGGAGTACGTGGGAAAAATCTCCTGTCGTTTAGGTGCTGTCACTAGATCTGGACTAGTGTTCTGCTTCCTGTGTGGGTGTGGGTCTTTTGGCAGCATTAGCAGAAACTCCGCATGTGAGGAGAATGTATTATCAGTAAATATCTGGTATCACTGCTAAAGAGACACCAGAGCTCCAAGAAATCTGAGAGAGTGCTGTGCTTCAAATTGTAAAGCATTTTGTTTCTGCAAAAATTGGTCTTATTGCCTCCTCCCCTTACAGATATGTTGGATTTCTGATGTCACGTTCTCCTGATAGATGATGTGTTGGATTTCTGATGTCATGTTCTCCTGATAGATGAGCTTCATTTTGACTGTTGCGATATTAAAAAGCAGATGCCAGTTGCTGTTAGAGCTAGCAATGGGAGGAGACGAAGAGAGGACTGATCCTGAACCGGGATCAGCCCTTCTTTTGGTTTCCTGAGTGGTTTCTCACAACCTGTGAGCTTTCAGCTCAGGGGTTGAGCCTCTTGGGTGGACGATTTCATTTTTACCCCTCCCTCCCCCAGACCCCAGCACCATCGAAACCAACGAGGAGATCGAGATCGCCTATCCCATCACCTGCGGGGAGAGCAAAGCCATCCTGCTCTGGAAGAAGTTTGTCTGTCCGGGAATTAACGTCAAGTGTGTAAAGGTAAAGGAGTTTTCGGATTCCTTCCTGCTCTCACGCTCTGGTGCTTGACTCCCACAGGACTTTCTTGTGTTTCATCCGAGCTGCGTGCTGGAGCCGAGTGACTTTGCTTTTGCAGCTCGGTGGGTTATTAGCACTAAAATTGTTTCTAGCATGGGGAGAAGCAGAGGAGGAGTGGATCAAGGAGCGAAGGCCCATCACTCATATTTCCCTGCTGGTCTTGATTGCTGTTCAAAGCAGAGCTGTATTTGGCACTCGATGAGGGACTTGGAGCTGAAGGCAGGCAGGGGATGCGTACTGAGATCTGCCACAGCTTTCCGTCCTTGTCTCTTCCCCTTGGTATCCTGATACTCCGCTCCTGACGCTCCCTCGGTGAGCAGGTTGCATGGAGAAGAGAAATCTGGCCGTTCCCTTTTCCCACTTGAGGGTGCGCTAACGTAACAGCTGACGCGCTGAGTCCCTGTGCGCCGCTGCATTCCATTGCGGACCCTCGACGGGAACTGCCTTGGGCACCGGAGCAGGACAGGGCAGATGCCCTGTGAATACCTGTGTCAGCCAGGTGTTGCTCAGCTGTTTGATGTAACAGGAGTCTCCTGTGAGGATCTCCAGGGTGACTGTACATGCTCACAGAAGGAGCCCGTTTGGTTGGTGCCTTGTAGGAAAGCCTTCAGGGCTGGTCGTGGCAGAGCTGTGTGGTTGGAATGCCGGCAGCTGGCAGGTCGTCCCAGCAAACGCATCCGTTCTGGGGTTGTCAGCATTGCTGTGCCGAGGGGATCGCAGCTGGTGGGGATTTGAGAGGCAGCTCCTCTTTCTGGGTAGAAGTGGGGTCTTTCAATGAGCTGTGTTGGATGTACCAGTACAGGCTTCCGAGGTGATGTTACCCTGTTTGCTGAGCCTTTGTTTATCTCCTTGTCAGTTCAATGACCAGCTGATCAGCCCGAAGCATTTTGTTCACCTGGCTGGGAAGTCTACCCTGAAGGACTGGAAGAGAGCCATTCGCCTCGGAGGAATCATGCTGAGGTATTAGACCTGCCTACCACTGTGTCCAGCTTCAGGGCTTCATCACTGCAGCTGCAGGATCCCAAGCAGGCGTTTTGTCTGCTTTGCAGGCCCTGGGAGATCTCTTGGAAGCTCACATTACCTGGCCAGCAGCCTGCAGAGATCCCAGCCCTGTGGTCTGGGCGGCAGGATTCCTCATCCTGTACAGAAGTGGCCTCCCCGGGGATGTGGTGTTTGGTGGGGGTGGAACAGGACCAGAGCCCTGTATGTGAAACTGGGGGATGGCTTGTATTTGCCCTTTGAAAACCCTGCAGATGTTTTGTGTGCAGAGCAGCGCTGGCTCTCCTGTTTTCCCTCCTTCTCATGGCTGTAGCATTCCTACGTAGAATACTCCCTTCTGTCTCCAGGCTGAGATTTGAGCTGAGCCTGGTTCTCTCCCCACTCCCTGCACAGGAAGATGATGGACTCGGGGCAAATCGACTTCTACCAGCACGACAAAGTTTGCACCAACACCTGTCGAAGCACCAAGTTCGACCTCCTGATCAGCAGCGCCAGAGCCCCGGTGCCGGGGCAGCAGAGCGTGGTGCAGACCCCTACGTCGGCTGACGGTAGGAAACCAGTTAGCGGTGTCACGGGAGTTTCCCTCTGACGTGCCTCCCCCTCCCTGGACTCATCAGATCAGGTTGACCCCACACACATGCTTTACGTCTTCTCCTCGGGCGTAGCAGGGCAGTCCCACCGCTCAGGAGACTGCTCTGGTTTCTGGGAAGGACAATGCCTGTCGTGTCTGCTCAGGGGGACCTCGGCAGCATCTGCCAGGAAGCTCTGCTCTGCAATAATGCGAGGGCAGAAAAGGTGCTGGTGTCGAGCAGTGATGAGAGGCAGCCTTGGGAGCCAGGGAGGGCTCACCTTGGATCATCACAGAGTCACAGACTGGTTTGAGTTGGAAGGGACCTTAAAGCCCACCCAGCCCCACCC